GGGTTAAGGGTTTGGTTTGGTTTTCTGTTTTATTTGAAGCTGCACAATCCCAGCAAGAAGCAAGAGAGACTTGTATCCGACCACAAATGTGCCTGTTCTTAGTTTCCTCCCTCAGCTGAGGTGCTCGCTGTTCTATCTCTGAGTATTCAGAGCAAAACTTTCCTAGCTGCCAGCGGCTCCTGCATTTTCCTGATGATCTCAGTATAAGAAAGATATTTTTTTTTACAGTTAGAACTATCATTCACTGGAACAGGCTCCCCAGGGCTGTGGGAGAGTCCTCATTTTTCAAGACTGAACGTAACAGAGCCCAGGCAGTCTCATCGAGGCTCCCTTTCTCGCAGAAGGTGAGCAAGGTGAGCTTTTGAGGTTCCTTCTAAACTTAGCTACTCAGTGATTCCCTGGCTCTATTCGTTCAGCCCGGAAGGTCACTTCAGTGTTTTATTTTGAAGAACTTGAGAATACAGTTTTCTGTCCCTCCATGGGAGTGACCTGATCATCGGGGTCCCTGCAGCATGGCGCTGCTCGCTCTCCAGACGTGCTGCACCCGCTGGTTACCCATACCAGGCATTGAAAGGACTTGCCTCCAACCCAGGGAGGAGAAGTCAGAAACTGCGGTGCTCGGGGATGAGCAAGGTTGATTCGCTCAGAGCGACTTGTGATGAAGACTCTCCCGTGGAGCTCCCCGAGGCTGTAAGCTGGAAAAAAGATAGCGCGCTTTGGGGTGAAAACCTAAGCCAGCAGCATCACTGGTACGGGCTGGAGAGGTGAGGGAGCTTCAGCCACCTGACTGGTGGGTTTGGGGGCTTCCGGATGCCACCTTGATACACGTGGGAAAGTGCAGCTCGTGCCTTTTCCCCCCCCTCCTTCTGCTGGCAGCCTTGCCGCGAGGATGTTGGTGTCACCGGCCGCAGATGGGGTTGGTGACCAGGGGACTTCCCGACAGGTCGATGTGCTCCATTGTCCCGGCGCTTCCTCCTTCCTACAGCACCTAAATATATCGGGAGGCACCGTGCCAGCGGTTATTCCGTAGCTGGTTTTTTAGGGACGGGTTTTGCTTGGCTTGACTTTGCTCTGTGCGTGCCCTTTTACACTTTGCACTGGAATTGCCAGAAGGTTGTTTAAAAGCTACAAAGATAAGAAAAACCTGAGCCATGACGGGCATGTATAAGCAGTTTGATTCTGGAGCTCTGTGTATACTTTAGTGCCGTTCTTAAAAGAAAATTAACCAACTCATTAATAACTATAAAACCACTTTGACTCGGCACAAAAGACGTTTCGTTAAAGGGCTGAGTCTCCCAACAAGGTTCACTGTGGTGCTGTTACCTCTGGGATTCCCCATGTACATCTGTTCTCATCCTGATTTTTTTGTTTCTTTTCCCCTTGCTGTCAGTTGAAAATGGTCACCGCGGTCTTGCCTCATTTGTAATTATTTCTGTGGTTATTTTTTGCATGTGTCCGATTGCTTTTGAATGGAAGGTAGGATTTGCTTACAAATCATTAGAACCACAGTACTTGAGAGCACTAGTTAACCGAAAATGCACTAAATATTCAGGATACGTGAGGAGAAAGCTGCATTTTTGGAAAAAGAAACAAATTCAACTGATCTGTAGCATTTGGCTGAGTCATCACCACGCTCTCACCTATCTCATGGCTGGTGAGACGACGGCAGTTATGAGCAGCAGCACATCTGAGCCTTGAGCTAAGCTCTGGTTTCCTGGATGAATAAACTTTAATTCCTCTGTTTTCTGAGCCCCCTAATGTCTAGTTTCCAAGCTTTGAACTAGCTATGCGGTGAGCTGACTGTGCAAATGTAATAAGTTGAAGTAAAACGTGTCTTCCTCTCTGTAGCAGAACTTAAAACAAACAAAAGCAAGGTTGTGTTAAATGAGATGCTCAAGCAGTGCTTTTCCCTTTGTTTTGTGGCTTGTCTGTCTTGAAAACGTTAGCCGGGTCATACTCTTGTGATGTTTAATATAAAGAAACCATATGCCTTATTGTTTATTTTAAAAGACATGCTAATGAATCGTTTACACCTCCTCGGCTTAAATATTTAAAGCGGCGCGTTGTGCCACGGGAACCGCCACGCTGCGGCACTGAGGGCACTGTGAAGCCGTTGCCTTACTTGCAGCCTCCTCTGCTCCTACAGTTCCTCTGATTTGATGGGTGACGGGGTTTTGGAAGTTTCAACGTGAGCAGCTTCAGACACTTTGAGATCTGACTCGTAATGAGCTGCCCCAGGGACCCGGATGGGATGTTAACGCCTCTGCCTCTCGCTCTCCCTTGCAGGAATCTACATCCTGATTGCGGTTGGAGCTGTCATGATGTTCGTGGGGTTCCTGGGATGCTACGGTGCTATTCAGGAGTCTCAGTGCCTTCTGGGAACGGTAAGCGCAGAGCTTTGGGTGCTGCTTGGCACCGTGACGTCCCTGCCGGGTGGCATGTGGCCCTACCTCCCTTGCTGGAGACTCTTCCAACAAATCTGCTGGTTTTATCTGTTTGAACAAGGAAACGGCCGAGATTTCCTGCAGTATCTGAGTGAGGGCATCCAGGTATGTCCTGGAAAATCCAGTACTGAAATGCTGCAGGTGTCCTTGGTGTGAGGCCGCAGCTCAGGATTCCTGGCAAGGGATGAGCTTAATTGCATAAACTACTGCCACACCAAAAGCCTTGGGGAGAGCCATTAATTTAAAGCAAGTTCTCACGTGTGGTTCGGCTTTAAACTCAATGCAAAAAAAAAAACAAAACAGAAAAAAAAAATGGAGGGGTAAAACATGAAAAGAAGTGGAAGGACTTCTCCAGCACTTGGCTTTGTTGGGCTGGGAGTTTCTCGGTGGTGATGAAGTGACCCACGGCTGTGGATTCCCCTCGGACAGAGGGAAGGGGAGCTGCTTTCCCTCGCTCTCGCGGGTGGCTTCACCTCTAGTTGCTTCTGTTTCCCAATAAGCAGAGGGTGCTTCTCACCAGCTTTTACGAATCACGTTTTTACGGGTGGATGGGAGCTGCTGGAGGAGTTTTTGGGCATTATTATCCCTGCTGCTGAGAGCACAAATCTGACAGGGGCTGTGGTGGTAGGGTCTGGCAGCTTTGGATTACTTTTTTTGTTAAGGCGAGTGATTACAGAACCTGAATTACCCCTCGCTCTCTCTGGAAGTTGGAAAGAGGATTAGAAGGGCAGGTGGTACAACGTACCTGAAACCCGACAGGGAAATCAGCTGCTTTGGCTGAAAGGAGCAACTCAAGCCGCCGCGTTTTCTCGCACCTCGGCTTGCCAAGAGGAGGCTGGAGACACCTTGTGATGACGCTTTTCTGCTGGCCAAGGCTCTCGTCGTGCCTCAAGGACATTTCCAGGGCACCAGGAAGCTCCACGCTATCAAAATCCTGTGCCAAGGGCGGCGTGGAAACCAAGCAGTGAGATTTCAGGAAGGCAGGAGGGAGCTGCTGGACATGGAGCGGGCTCTGCTTCCCAAGGGGCTGAGACATGTCCAGCTGCCTGGCCAGGAACCTCATTGTGTTCCCATAGCATCCAGCCGCGTGGCTGAGCCTCCGGGCAGATGTGCCCCCCAAACCTGGGGTAAAGGAGCCATCCTTGGCTGGAGAAAGACTGCAAGAGTGAGCCCTAGCGCTTAACCAGAGAACGACAGGGGCATCACCTGCGATTTAGGGGGATGTGATTCCTTGAGGGGATGTGGGACCCCATCCTCCAGAGCTGTTCCTGGAGAATCAGGGATAAATAGGTGTTTGTGGAGGATTTGGTTGTTCAGGGACTGGACAAGGATGTTGGAAGTCCTTTCCTGCTGCCTGGTCAATAGGCTTGTTTCCATTTTGCTCTTGCACATGAGAGCCAGGTCAGAGCATCTTTCTGGAAACTCCAACCTCCTCTATTGTTGAAGAAAATGTCCTGAATGTGTCTGGAACAGAGGCTGCCCTGGAGCCAGGGGCTGTTGTCCCACCCCATACTGTGTTTTTGTCTTCCTCTGACTGCATTCACCTCTTTTGCTGCTTTACTTCCATGGCAACTCTCCTAATTTGGGGCTTTTCCCAGGAAGAAGTCACTGAGACTTTCAGTGTCCCTGTCCGTGCCTCCTCGCTTGGCTCTGACCTACGAGCTTGACGGCTTCCCATCCCCAGCCTGACAGACCTACAACCGTCACAATGTGTTCCTGGGATCTGAACAAAAAGATGGAGGGAAGCTTGGGGGGCCGGGAGGGGCTGGCAGGGAGGAGTCCTGGAATTGCACGAGCAGGGTGAGACTGTGGGAAAGCATTAGCGTTAGTATTTATGCAAAAAACTGCAGTAACCTTGCAGGGCTGTGGATGCCAAGGGAGCCGGCCATAAATCACACCCTGACATCCCGCAGCTCCTCAGAGGCTTGAATGTGGTTTTAACCCTGCCCTGGCAATTCCCGTCCTCGGAGCATCTGTGGCAGAGCAAGAGGCTTGTCTGGATGGTGCCAGACAAGCTTCTTGCTTGTGCTCACACGTGCACAAAGAGGATTGATGTGTCCTCATCCCTGCCAGTCCCTGGGTGGGAAGGGCTGAGCTAGTCCTGGTGGGAATCCTGGACATGGACATGGTGTCCAGTAAGTTATAGCAAATCGTGTTTGGACTAAGGGCGTGAATGAGAGGGAAAACCACTTGAAATCAGGTGACAGCTTGCTCTGATCCCCTTCAGCAGAAGTGCCGCTCCACCATCTCTGCCCACCTAATAGCTGCTTTTGTATGTGGCCAGGTACGTTAAGGGTCCCTCTCGGTTTGTCTTTGCAGTTCTTCACTTGCCTGGTGATCCTGTTTGCCTGCGAGGTTGCGGCTGGAATTTGGGGATTTGTCAACAAAGACCAGGTAAGATGACTCCAAAACCTGCATTTATGGGACTGGGAGGCCAGGGCAGAACCGCAGCAGATCCAGGCAGGAGCTGTTTTGCTCTCGAGCTGTTCCTGGACTGAGTTGGGGGGGTTGGGTTAGCTGTGTGACTTAACTCCTCTTGGCCGGGCTGATGAACTTTGAATGCGAGCACTTGAAGGTGGCATCTGCTCCTTACAGCATATAGTGCAATGTCTGGAATAAAAATAGCTCTGTCTCGCTTGGGTCTCCTCTAGCTGCCACACTGTCAGTGACAGCGTGTGGGACGTCTTGATGGGAAGCCATCTGCACGTTCTAGCTGCCAAAGAGCAAAGAGCGAGCGCAGCGCCGAAGTGGGGGAATACCGCACAGGGAGAGCCTGCGTCGGCGTTAACGGGATTGCTCGATGCTTCCTGCTCTTTGCCTGTGGGATATAACCCACTTCAGGCCACCCGCCTGCCAGGACGGAGCTTGCTGCTGGTCAGTGTGCTGTGCACACACGTGGAAGTCATGTGTCTGTCCCAGGCACGCTGCTCGGATGAGGTCCTTTGCCTGGAGGGGCTTAGCTAAAGCGTGGGACTGAGAATTGCAGCTTTTCCCTTTTCTGCTCACCTTCCCTTTGGTGCTCGCCCCCGTGCAGAAGTTGGCCTCAAGACTGTCAAGGCACAGGAGCCACGGCCAGGCTGCTGCAGGCAGCGAGCTCAGCGTCGATCGCTCGCTCGTCCGCTGAGGGTTTGGAGCTCAGAGCCCAGGTTAGACGCCCTGACAGAGTAGGAGATATGTTTGTTTTACTAAGAGACGTAAGCCAGCTGCGTAAGGAGGTGGTGGCCTGCTCAGCTGGGGCATGTGTGTCGGCCACGGATGAGCCACTCGGCCGTGAACGGGAACACCCTTGTAGTCACTCACTGGAGAAAGCGTGATTTCACCGGAATAAACTCTTCCGTGGCTAAACGCGTTATTATGCAGGCAGGGTGCTGTCTCCTAGCAACTTTGGCTAGTTGACCTTTGCGGAGGGGCTGTGCCTCCTGCAGATGGGAGGTTGTGAATTCTGAAGAGTCCAAGATGTGTGACTGAACGGACAGCAAAAAAGTGAAGCCTCTGTAAGGAGAGACCCCACGGCTGCTGCTTTGCGTGCCGGCGAGAAGGCCATCGGAGCACGAAGCTGTGAAATTTAGGATTTGCCAGTACAAGAACGATGACCTCAGCCTCTAAAATTAATTTGGTGGTTTAAAACGAGCACTGGCAGCCTGTTGGCCTCAGCTGCTTTTGCAGCCTGGATGACGAATGGGCCATTTGGAAGTCCCTGCTCTCTTGCTTCTCCCTGTCTTGGTCAGGAGCAACACGGGCTGAGAGGGAAGCACCAAATGGTCCCAGTCACCCAGAGCTGCTCCCAGCCTGGATTCGGATCCACCTGGGTCCGCAGCCTGTCAGGGGGACGATCATCTATCATGTAGGCACAGGATCCTCCTCCATGAAGCTGGAGGCAGCCTCTCCCTCAGCCTCCTGCCTCGGAGATGCCTTAGATAGAGGATGGGGAGGCAAGAAGTAGGATTATTTTACTTTCTCCCATGTACCAGAATGAAATGGTCTGTTTGGAGAACTTTCAAAGCAAGCTTTTCTGAGCAGTGACGGAGAAATACTGGAATAACTGATTGAAAGGATGCTCCTTTTTGCTACAGTTTCTGGTTTTGTGCACTAATCCAGCCTGTGCTGCCAGGAGCAGATGTTCAGGAACGTGTTTTCCCTTTCGTACTTGCTCTTTCTTTTTTTCTTTTGCTTCCCTTGCCTATCCTCCTTTCATCTGTCTCTCCCAAATTATTGGAGGGTGTTTGAGGAGACAGTTTCCCTAAAAATCAGAGGGGTTTTTTTGTGTTGTGCAGCAGCATCTCATGGGTGGCTACAGTTTGCCAGCCCTGCTGGCAGGGCTAGAATACAGATGAGACTTCTCATCTAACCATTTGCAGGACAGGGGTGCCCAGCTCCAGGCAGAGACCCAGCCAGAGCTTGACGTCCATCTAAAAGCTGACTTCCCCGACCCAAACGAGCCGCCTCACTAGGCTTTAGCATGTGATCTCTCACAAATTCCCGAGGTGCTCATAGCAACAGACGACCTTGCTTGCATATCCCACCTCCTCCTGACCTCCTCATCGTGGGAAGCGTGTTGCCTGCTCGCTTTGAAGGACAGGCCTTTCTTCGTGTACCTGTGCAAATAAACAGCATCCACGTCTATTTAGAAACTGCTCATCTGCCTGCGAGTGCCGTTAGAGGGAACCTGTCCCCTTCAGGCGTGTTGGCTGGATGGGTTTCCTCCTCCTCTGGCTGAAAGGGACTTTTCCCTTTGTCTCTCCCCTAGATAGCCAAAGACGTGAAGCAGTTCTACGACCAAGCATTTCAACAAGCGCTTATGGCAGAATCGGACGCGAACAACGCCAAGGCTGTAGTGAAGACCTTTCATGAAACGGTGAGACGCTGGCGGTCTTGCTGCCCGCTCTGCTCAGGCTACGTGCGATTGGCCAAAGCAACCTCTGCTGGGTAGAGTCTGTTAATGCTGGTGGGTTTTTTTCACCTTTTTTTCATGTAGCTGGACTGCTGTGGCCCCGATAGCGCAATAGGAGATATGACTCTCCTGTGGAAAGAAAACCTCTGCCCAAGGAAGGACAGCTTGCTGAAAAGCTTTATTGAGGTAGGCACGGCTGCTCCACCCAGCGCAGCTCCCGTGAGGAGACTTGGCTGCCGAGGAAACTTGGGAATTAGATAAAGGGTAAAGATTTCGTTTATTCAGGAGTGGCGCTGAGGGATGTTGGAGGTTCCTTTGCTGTTCCTGCTTGAGGGGGCTGACGGGTGCAGAGGGATGAAGTCTGGTGGGAAATCCTAGAGCCAGGATGCAGAAATGCGAGCGGGACTGGAGGGGAAGCAGACCTGATAGTGTGGGTGCTGGGGTGGGCAGGCTCCCTGATGGACGTGCTTCTCTGCTTCAGAACACCAGCTGCCATCAGAAAATCGATGAGCTCTTCTCCGGGAAGCTGTATCTGATCGGTATCGCTGCCATCGTGGTCGCCGTGATCATGGTAAGTGTGACTGCCGGCAGGTTCGTCGTACCCCTGGGGAGGGTCGGGATGTTCAGGCGAGCACCCGGTTAAACAGCAGCACCTACAGCCCCATCCAGGAGGAGAGGGAGCACCGTCCAGCCTTTTTTTACCGTTCTTTTCTCGGGCTGCGGTGTTTCATGCTGGGGTCTGTGGCAGGAACAGATTCGATCTCTTTGCCATGGTGGGTTTGCTCCCCAGCGAGGGACTGGAGGGCGTTGGGACAGTGATGCTGGAGGGATCTCAAAGGGTTTTCTGCATAGCAGGAGAGCTGGGAGGTTTGCAGGGTACCCCAGGGAGGGGAGAACATCTTCTCTCAAATTGGCCAACTCTTAAAAGAAAACAGCGGTGAAGACGTGGCATCTCTGCCCTTATCGCTGGCGCGAGAGTGTTTATGTGGAGTGAGGGGCCCTCGGGATGGAGGGGAGCTCCTGCATTGTACCAGTCAGTGCTTCAGCGGTGCCCCCGTGTCTCCCGACAGATCTTCGAAATGATCCTGAGCATGGTGCTGTGCTGTGGCATAAGGAACAGCTCCGTCTACTGAGCCGTGAGAGCCGGGGAGGGGAAGGGGGGAGCAGGGCGGACGGCGCTAGACGGGGCCCCAAGTGCCACCAAGTGACCAGGAGACATTTCAACAAAAGAGAAAGAAAACTATGTATATAAATACTTCCAATATTACCATACAGTACTTACCATTTTTTATTTTGAAGTATTTTTTTTTAAATAAATAAAACTTTCCCGTATCCTTGTGGCTGAGTTAGTTACACATCAGTGTTGTGTGATGGGGAAGGCTGCTGTAGCAGGAGATCGAGTCCTTCCTCCCCCTTCCCCACCCCCCGTAACTCAGATATGAGGGTGGAAGAGGAGCAGAGGAGAAGGCTGAAGCCTGTTAGTAGAAAACTTTTTGCCTTGGTTTTTATTCTCTTTTTCAACACTGACTTTTTATATATATATATATATATGTGTGTGTGTGTAATTGGATGCTGAAGCAGTATTTAGCATTTTTGTTCATTTGTACTCATCTTTGCTACCATCACCCCAACTCCCTGGGAGAGAGGATCAGAGAGGATCCCGGGGGAAGCACCGACCTGTTGCTCCTCTCTGGCCCGTTTGCATCATTAGGTCAGTCCTTAAGTCATGCTTAATTTTTTAAAATTTTTTTTTTGACTGTCTGAAGCACGGGGATGTTTTTGGCTCTTTGGTTTTGTGGGCTTTTTTTTTTTCTTGGGGCTATAACTTTTTTAATTGGCTCATTTGCATTTGTTTCATTGAAGGGTCAGTGGCCAGGGCTGAATTTTTAGTCACAGGTTTTTAAATATAGCAAACTCAAAATTAAGTCACTTTTTTTTTTAACCTCCTTCAATGTTTCTTTATAGAGATGTTTTTGGAGAGAGTCTAGGTCTGTACTAAGTTTCCACTGTTAAGCTAATTCTTGTATACAAATGATATTGGAAAAAAAGAAAACTTTTTATTTAAAAAAAAGTCCTTAACCTTAGAAATCCTGAATTTCTATATCGCAGGATGACAAGTGGAGGTTCTCAGCCACAGGCATACATGTTTTAAGATTTCCTCTTTGCATCACTCTCTTGTTCAATTCAATTTTCCCGACTTAGAGTGTATCATCACACACTGTAGCATCGCTGGGAAATTGCCAAAACCTCATTTTGCAACAAATAAACAAAAGTAAAGTGTGTTTTTAAGACTTTCCAGTTACATCAACGGCAGGAGATCAGCTTATCGAAGCAAGGGAACCCAGGATTTTAGATGGCACCAGTTGAAACACTTTCTTGTGACCTGCTAAGCTTTGGCTGCCAATTGGACGTGTGTGGCTCCTGTCGCGTGCCACTCCGTTACCGTGTAGATAGAGGGGGAGAGTGACCCAGGAGCCATGTAATAAAATCAGAGGGTCTCTAAAAAGATGATCTATATGTATAGTTCTATAGATTATATATTTTTAAGCAAAGCCTTTTCCTTAGCTGCACAGGCACTTGAGCTGGAAATGATAGTGTCTCTCAGCTCGTTGCCACCTCCTGGAAGCAGGCAAGGGGAGGAGTTGAAACAAGTGATCACCTTCCCCACTTCAGGAATATTTCTGTTTCTTAAGAGTATTTCAGTCTCCCCCGTCATTGCAAGGAAGAGCTTCAAGTGGGATAGGGAGGGAGGCCTGTGAGCATTTTAAACTTGGTACCTTGTCCACACAGGACAGAAAATTCCTGCACTGGGGCAAACTGATCCGTTTGGAGATTTTTTCACTTTCCCCTTTCCTCTTCCTGCCTTTTAGTATATAGGGCCTTTAAAAAATATATAGGTAAATATATATATATATATCTATCTCTCAAGTTGTGCTGGGTTAAGAGGAGGAAGTGCTTCAACAGAACTTTGGGTTGAGGGGGTTGGAGGAGAAAAGATTCAGCCTTAGAATTAGCCTTAAAGCGACACTGCCCTGAATGTCCACGTTGTGCACGCGGAGGGTGAGACGAGGTGTTGCAGTAGGTCACCCCTTCCCCTGCTCCCCAGCGTCGCTCCTTCGGCTCATCGGCTCTGTTACGTGGCTCTACGTGTACGCGTCAGCCCAGCATGTGTGTTTACATGGCTGTGCGTCGGGATTGTCAGCATACAGAATGGATGTGTAACTCGCCGCCTTTTTTTTTTGTTGACTGTTGATAAATGTGTATAAATATGCTATTAAGCATTTCAGTTCTCTTTTCTTTCCTTATACCGTTTTTGGGAGGTTTTTTATATATTGTTCAGCATTCAGTTGATGCTGTGTGTGTAGCCAGAGCTCTGTTTGAGGACGGACTGGGTCTCGATGCGTGTCCCTGGACATTTAGGGGTCTGGGTTGTCCCAGGCAGGAGCGACTGGGAGAGAGCAGTGCTTGGAGAGGGAGGCTGAGAGCTGTGGGAG